CACCTGCTCTGTCCACCGAAAGATGTGCACCCGCGTCTGGGAACCGCGTGACATAAGAGAAGGGTCCTCCGCGCGGGCAGGCACGGCGGAATGCTGAGCCCAGCTGCGCCCAGCTTCAGCAAGAGTCCCCCGCTGTCCTTGGTTTCCCACGGCAGCTCCACGCGGGGGAACCGCTGTCCCAGGTTCCCACGGCCAACTCCACGCGGGGACCAGTTGTGCCCCGGGAGAACAGCCTTTTTACGTCGCAGGGGCTGGTGGGGGATCCTTCTCCACAGAGTCTGGCGTGAGCACCAGTGCCCCACTCCTCCCCAGCACACCTGGAGGTCCAGTCTGAGGCTCATCAGGGGAGCCTCGGGAAGCAGCTTCCCAACGCTCAGCAGGAGATCTGGGACTGGGCAGCCCAGCAGTTAAGTATTTTAAACAATGCTCTCTGCAACCAAAGCCGACTTCCTGCAGAAACCGTCCAATGCCATCTGCCAGGCCCCTTTCCTCCCTAACCCGCTGCCTGCCGGTTTCTAACACTTCATGAAGCCTTCTACTCTGCTAGATTGTTATCCCTGTGAGGTTAGCGGAGTAGTTAGGCCTCGGGTCGTGCTGAGACCCAAGTTAAAACATGCTAACCTGGCTTGCTGGAGGCATCTGGGTCCCCAAAGTCCTTAACCTTGGTGGTCAGGGGGCTTCCAACCTCAGCTTCCCACACCCCAGCTGCCCTCCGAGTTCCCGACCTTGAAGGGATCCTTAACGAAAGGAGGCTCCAGCCCTGGGCCCAGTTCAGGCGGTACTCTTCTGCAGGGTGGGCTGTTGAGCTGTTCTCTCGCCCTTCAGAGGAGACAGTCCCTCTGCCCGCCCACCCTGTGAACAGGTCCACGCTGTAAGAACCCAGAAGACCAGTGGAGAGCTTCATATTCGCAAGCCAAGGTCATCTCCTACTTAGGTAAGAAAACTGGTCCCCGGCTGTCTGCTGGATTATGGTGTGTAGCTAATTTAACCTACTTTGTCAAACCCCTGGGAGAGTATGGAATAGTCAGGTGATTGCGAGAGATTTCCTTGATCTCTCTGAGTTCAGCAAACTAGGCTGTGTTCGGCCAGCAGGTCACAAAATCGGGGAGGGCAGAGAGCTTGCAGCAAGACTAGAGTCTGCAGGCTGGGTCTGCAGTCTCTGACACACGGCCCACGCCGCCCCCAAGCCCTCCACACACACCTCAGCACCCCCTTTTAGCTTCATGCACTGCTTTAAATGCCCATTTGTCTCATGGCTCCCAGTCATTCCTCCGCCCCTGTGCCCCTCCTATCCCTCGCTGCCCTGTGCTGTTCTCTGCTTTGGTTTGTGGAGGACACCCTCAGTTTTGTTGAAGTACCACTTACTATCTGGAGTGGTGGCTGTTAGGGACAAATGTGGTCAGGGGAGAGCCGGAGAGACGGTTAAGGCCCTTGACCGACTTAACAAACAACCTGAGTTTGATCCCTGGCAATCACAAAATGGGAAGAGAGAACTGACCCCTACCACATTGTCCTCTGACTTCCACATACGTAAAATTATACCTGGATGGGAACACACACATGCTAATAAATAAATAAATGAATATATATATTTCCAGACAAGGGAGGGAGAAGCAATCAAGAACCAAAGAGCTTGACTTGTCTCACTTTGACAAGAGGCACTTTAGGGGTGCAGGGTAGAAACGTTCAAATTCATGCTACTACAGAAAAAAACATCTGTGTAAGAAGGAGAACCATCACTGCATGGTGGTAGGGGCAGCTGAGGTCCTGGCTGAGGAACCTTGAGCCCAGGAGTTCCAGGCTACACTGGACAGCAGAGTTGGAAGTTGCTGGGGGGGGGGGGGGGTGGTCAGGAGAAAGAGGGGAAAGATCAATGGTATATGCTCTGGGTTCCAGTCCCAACACCATATTTCCAGGGACTAAGACATGATTCGGTGGCTCCTCTTCCAGATGGACCCAGGTTCAGTTCCCAGCACTCACATGGCAGCTCACAACTGTCTGTATCTCTAGTGCCAAGATATCTGGCGCCCTCTTTTGGTCTCTACAGATACTGCATGCCCTGTACACATGCAGGCAAAACACCCATATGCATTTTTTAAAAAAGTAAATAAGGAGTTTTAACTAAAATTAAATTTACAAAGTAGAACAAACAGAGCATGGTGGCACTTGTCTGTGGTCCAAGCTACTCTAGACGGGGGCAATGGCTTTGCTGATCCCACCTCAGAGAGAGAGAGATCCAGGAGGACCCCCTATTAGTATTTAAGAAGTCTTCTTCTTCAAAGTTTTTAAAGTGATATATAGGTTAAAATTTTGAAATTAAAAAAACTTACATGTATACACACCTCCCCAACCCCCTCCTCCCCTGGCCATCAGCCTAGCCAGAGACCTCCATTTGCCCCTACTTTCTAAATGAACACTGAACAATAGAGCCGTATGTTCAAGTCTCTACTGGCACATAAATGGAGTTATACTGCACATACTGCTTACTATTCTCTCTATTCTCTCTCTCTCTTTCTCCCTCTCTCTCTCTCTCTCTCTCTCTCTCTCTCACACACACACACACACACACACACATACACACACACATACACACACGCACATACATCAGCATGAATTTGAGGTTTTTCCCCATCAGTACAGAAGAATGATTGAGCTTTTACCAACTGCCTGGGATTCCATCCCGTCATTCTGCTGGCTAAGCACTCAAATCATTCCCAGCCTTGACTGCAATGAAGGTCTTCGAGCATGTCCTTTTTGATGTATATTGGTGTTTTGTGCGCTGTATCTTTATGCACTGTGTGCATGTAGCGTCCTTAGAGGCTGAGCACATGTCTTTAAGCCCACAGGGACTATATCTAGAGGGTAAAGTATTAGCGGTAAAATTGCCGGCCAAAGGCTGTATACATTTTCAATCGTGATAGAGCCAAAGAGTAGATAGGTTTTATTTTTAGAGTAACGAAGAATTTCTTTTCTTTTCTTTTGCTTTTTTTTTTTTGTTTTGTTTTGTTTTGCTTCTTTAAGACAGGGTTTCTCTGTGTAGCCCTAACTGTCTTGGAACTTACTCTGTAGACCAGGCTGGCCTCAAACTCTGAGATCCACCTGCCTCTGCCTCCTGAGTGCTGGGATTAAAGGCGTGCACCAACACCATCCAGCCAAGTAAGAAAAGAATTTTAACTAAAACTACCCAAAATGTTGTGCCAATTTATCAGGAATGCTTTTGGATATATATTCAAGCCAACTCTGATTTGCGTGCTTTCTGCCTGCCTGTCTGTCTGTCTGTCTGTCTGTCTGTGTGTCTCTAGCTCTAGCTCTCTCATTTGTAAAGAAGAAGTATTTCTTTCTTATGTTTCAGAAGTCTTGGAAATCTAAGGTCAAGAGACCAGCATCAAGCAAAAGCCTTCCTTCTACTTCCTCCCATGGTAGAAGGCTGAAAGGTAAGAGGACACCCTCAAGGTAAATGGTCAGGAAATAACCTACGTCAGGACTCCTGCAGTAGCTAACTGTGGTGATTCTAATGTCACTAACTCCTTTATCTCACAGGGAATGGCTCTATTAGGAGGTATGGCTTTGTTGGAGTGGGTGTGGCCTCGTTGGGGGAAGTGTGTCACTGTGGGGGGGTGAGGTTTTCTAAGCTCAGGATACCACCCAGTGGCTCCGTTGACTTCCTGTTACCTGCAGGATACAGCACTCTCAGCTCCAGCACCACAGCTGTCCACACACCGCCATGCTCCCCACCATTAGGGTAATGGTCGGAACCTCGGAAACTGTAAGGGAGGTTTCCTTACAGTTAATTTAATTGTAAACTCAATTAAATGCTTTCCTTATAAGAGTTGCTGTGGTCATGGTGTCTCTTTACAGCAATAAGAAACCCTAACTAAGACAGTAACCCAAGCCCGTGGTGTTGGCACTCACCCCACCCCCACCCCATGAGATGGAGCCCTTGCAGCCTCCACCCCTATGAAAGGTCTCTCCTCAAAGCACTTAGGAGGGAAGTTTCCAACACGGGCCCTGACAGGACACATCCAAAGCACAGTGTTCTTCTACCTCTCTCTTATTATTGTTCTCCTAAGTGACAAAGTATATGATGTATATGTTGGGGGTTTGAGAGATAGCTCAGCAGTTGAGAGCACTTTCTGCTCTTCCCAAGGGCACAGGTTCAGGTCCCAGCACCCATAGCAAGGGGCTCATAGCTACATAGAACTTCAGGGATTTGGCACTCTCTTCTGACCTCTGTGCACTCATGTGCACAGCCTCCCACATCTGTCCACACACATGCGTGAACACGCACTTAAAGCTAATACAAATAAACCTTTTTTAAATGATATGTATTTTTGGTATACAATACAAAGTTTATAAATGTGTGTACTCTAGCTTTCTAAGAGCAGATAGAGCCCCAGGGACTCAAAACATGTTTGTTATTCAGCGAGAAACAAAACGTTGGTGTGGTTTACACTGGAAGAAGCATGAAGGATGCTGGACGATGTACCGCATCCCCACTGTGGCCTCTGAATGGAGCATCGCTCGAACAGAAAGGCTTTCCCATGACACGCTGGGACCATGGAGGACCCACGTAGGTGGTCAGAAAGGGTTGACGGGAGCCCCTCACGTCCTCTCGTCCCTCACACTGTCCACATCTGGAACTCCACATATGGAAAAGTGCTGTTGGGCAGATGTGGCCACCCAGGGAGTGATGCATGTCACCCCCTTAGCCATTATGTCATCGGCTCTAGCATCCTGTGTGCTGTGGTCCTGGCTGCCACAAGCACCCAGACGCTGATACCTCCCAGGGATAGGAAGTTGTCTCCCTTGCCAATTACCTTACCTTGTTTCCTGGAAGACTCTAGCTTAGATAGAGCAGGAAGAAAAAAAAACAGTTTCACTTTCACTTCCGATTTATTCGTTTTTTACTTTGTGTGTGAGTATTAGCCTGCACGTGTGTATGTGTGCTGTGTGTGTGCTTGGTGTCTGTGGAGGCCAGAAGTGGGCATCGGATCCCCTGGAACTGGGGTTACAGGTGGTTGTGAGCTAGAGCTGAACCTGGGTGCTCTTAAGCGCTGAGCCCGCGAAGGTGTAGCTCAGACTGGCCTTGAACTTGTGACCTTCCTGAGTCTGTCTCTGCAGCACATCCACCACAGGCTGTTTCACTTTATGGTTCCTGGATACAAGATTTTCCTCCTTCTGCGAGCCAGGCCTTCACAGTGTCTGGGGACAGCCATGCTCACTCAGTCCTTCTTCTGAATTTTAGTTCTTTCAGTCATGTCTTACGGATCATGTCTTCCAAACAGTCACCACATTAATTCTTGCTGTGAACACCTTTCTCCTCAAACAGTGAAGAGTCCCCGAAACCACTGCCCAGAATCTAGCTGCACCCTGGGAAACGAAGGATGAACTAAGCCGCTGCTAGGAATATTTTGCCTTGGGCTGTCAACACAGTTTTCCCTTCTGGGGAAACTACTGGAGAACTATCCCTTATTCCATTGGTTCCTGATTCTCCCTGACTGGTTCTACTTGAAAGATGACAATCTTTAGAACCCAGTTAGATCATCTGGCCCTGCGCCCCTGGTTCTCAGGAGAATGGTATAACAAAATCCATTGAAGAGGAAAGGTTCTGTTGCCCTGTGTGGGGCAGAGAGTCATTTCCTCTTCTTGGCTCTTCAGTCTCTAACAACTATTCCGTCCCTTTCTAGAAAATTCCTTTCTCATAAAGTTATGGTCCATTTCAGTTGCATACAAGGAGAAAACTCACCGTGGGCCAGAGACTGCTAACCAGTGACCTCATGTCCCCAATTCCAACCTTGACAAAGCCGATTGGGGTCCCAGGTCTCTCCTCTTCTTTCTTGTTTACTGCCGTCGGCTGATCTGGCTAACTTGCCACCAAGGCTTCCATCAAGTTCCCACACTATCTGTTAGAGGAACCGGAGAGATGGCTCGGAGGTTAAGAGCGCTTGCTCTTCTAGAGGATCTGAGTTCGGTTCCCAGCAGGCACACTGGGTGGTTTGTAACTGTCTGTCACTCCAGCCCCAGAAGATCTGACACCCTCCTCTGGCCTCTGAGGGCACACATACATGGGGAGACATGTAAGTTGATAAGAAATTTAACCTTTAAGGAAAATAAGAACGAAACACTATCATGGTAGGCAGCCAGGCATGGTGGCATGTTCCTGGAATCCTAGCACCTAGGAGGCTGAGGCAGGGTGCCTACAACCTGGGTTACATAGCCTGTCTCAAAACAAACTGGTAAGTGGCTAGTCACAACTGCTGCAGACTAACCAGACTGGGTGCCAGCCGTCAAGGCAAGGAGTCCCCATGTACAAGGTTACCTAATCTGCTGGTGAAGTCCAGCTCTATCAGCCCGAAGCCAAGAGACAGAAAATAGAGTTGATGCCCTCAGGAGTTCCAGTCCAGAGGATGCTGGGGGCGGGCTGCATCTTCAGATGCACCTAAAAATCTGGGAGAAAGAGGGAAAAGATAATACAGTGGGCATCAGAGGCAACGGCAAGCTCCCTCAGACCCCGTGTGCTCACAGAGAGGTACAAACAAAAACCTAGGACCAGTGAGTGCTGAGGTCAGGAAAGGAGGGGGTGGAAGGCTGGCTTCATTCAGCATCTCAGGTGCCTACACAGGCGAGGCCTTCCAGCGTGTCTCACTTCTGAGGTCACGAGAGACAGTCAGACAGCTCTATCTTCCCAGGTGCCTCCTTACGAGGTCCTGCTCTCAGAACACCTGCTTCAGAGGGGACAGCTCCTAGGGAAGGGGACTTACAACAGAAGAAATCTGGCACACCCGGATATGGGGGGGAGGGTGCAGGGACGACAGGCATTGTGGGATAATGGAACTACACGGAGACAATTTTAGACTGTGCTTTCAGAGGGTTTTTTTTTCTCACCCTGATTGGCTAGTGTAAAACCCTCATTTACAACCTTGACAGAGCCCCGACTAATTTCTGTCGTTGAAACAGCTTTTTATAGCCACAGCATCAAGATGTAGAATACATTTCCTCTTTTCTCCCAACAGATCCCATTTCTTGGCAGAAATATATAGCAGAAAAGTACCAAAATTTTTTATAATGAGAACAAACTCAAAATTCCGCCCCTCAGCCTTCGCCTGTAGATTGTTTCTTCTTGGTAGCTCGCCCCCTGCTTTAACTTTCTCCTAGTGACTCACACGTTAAATTTTGATTTCAGCAGCCTCCAGTCGTATTACAGGACCCTGTTGCCACAGGACAGGGCCCGTGACCTTAAAGATTTCTACACTGAACGGACTGTACACATGCGTTCACTCTGGAGTTTGGCCCCGTTCAGACTGCTGTCACTTCCCACTCGAATTCCAGGGACAAGCCTAAGAATGGCCTTCCTGCTCTTCCAGCTTGATTTAATTTATCTTCTCTCTAAGATTTCCCTTTTGGAAACTCTGTGTGTGTGTGTGTGTGTGTGTGTGTGTGTGTGTACTATTCAAAGAAAAATGTGGTTTTTAATTGCCTTTAGGGCTTTAAAAAAAATCAAGCTCAAGTCTAACGTACCATAAGATGCCACACACCAGCCACACGAGGGGTCTTTGCTTAACAGCCAGGGGGCTCCTGCCTCTGCCAGCTGAGCCGCCATGTCTTTGCTTTCTGCCCTGAAACTGCCTTCCCGGCTCGGCTCCACGCAGTGACTAACTCCATCAGGAATATGACCCAGTTTGCTTGGCAGGATGTGATTTTTTTTTTTTTTTAACTCACTGCTCTCTCTGGTCACGATTCTCTCCCAGGCATTTAGCGACTCCCTCTTGGCATCCGTCTGGTGCTGAGCCGGATTGATAACTCTCTCCCCAGCTGTTCCCTTCCAGCCAGCCCTCCTCTTTCTGGTAAATCCTTATTCCATTTGCTTTTCTGCAGCAGCCTGCTATCTCTAGGGTCTCCTTAAAATAGATAAACACTGCTCTCCAAGGGAAGTCTCGAGGCAAAACCCACAGCACATACTAGCCCAATAATCTGCTCCAGAAGGCGGCTGGATAAAAAGAGTCGGCAATGGGAGCCACCCACTGGTACAGGCTTTTATCATTTACCAAGCACTTTTGACCCACATGGTCTTATTTAATATTCACAATAAGCCATAATGCAGGTAGAAGGGCTATTTCCACCTTATAAAAAAAAAGCCCCTAAAGAAGTCAAGAATTCTGGGCAGGAAGTCGGGCCAGGATTGGAAGCCTGTTCTTTTGAAAACTGCTATGTAAATTCTATTTGCTCAGCCACACAGGGCCAGGAATGCAGCTCCAGGGCAGGGCTTTTCTAGCACACACAAGACCCTGGATTCAATCCCCAGCACCTTGAGGGGGGAAAAAATAGACATAAGAATCTTTGGTGCTCATTTTGATGGATTCTGCAAAGGGCGTCCCCGATCCGAATGCATGGGACCAGAACTGTTTTTAGTTTAGGAATCTCCCAAATTTGGGAATATTTCCATGCACATAATGATCTCATCTCAGGGATGGTACCCGAGTCCAAGCACAGCATCTGTTTGTGTTTCCTATACATAGTCTGAAATTATTTTGCGCAGTATGTTTAGCGTGCCAGAGTGTTGGCCGTGCTCCGTTCCCATGTCACCAGGCAGAGGACTTTCCACTTGTAGTACACTCACACACTCAAAGAGCTCCAAATTTAAGAGTTGGCCCTTTTTCTCGTGTACCACACTGCGTCTCTGGAATTAGCAAAACAGGTCCCACCTAGCAGATCTAGAGATTGTGGGCTTTGGGAAGCCAGGCCAGAGCCTTTCGCATGGAAGGGCAGTTCAGTTGGTTGAGTGAACCTCAAGGCTTGCAGATTATGGAGAATAGGACCAAAAAGAGAGCCTTCTTATCAAATGAAACCCAGCACTCAGCACCCTCAGAAGCAAGTCTCTGTGCAGACGGGTTTCAGAAGGAAACAGATATAAAGTTGAGAAAGAAGTGCTAGAATTCTGTTTTAAAATTTAAAAAAAGTCAGACTCCAGGCACCGAGGTGCACCGGGGGATACACCAGCTTGGCTCACTAAGCTTAACCTCCTCATCTCTCGGATCACATCTACCTCAGGGTCCAGAATTCCACGACAGCCAAGGAAGGCTACATGGAGAAACCATGTCTCAAAAAACCAAAAAGAAAAAAAAAGAAAATTTAAAAAAAGTCACTGTTAGGGGAGCTGGAGGAATGGCTCAGCAATTAAGGGTGGGTACTGTTATTGCAGAGAACCAAGGTTCAGTTCCCAGCACCTCCACTGTGGCTTGCAACCATCAGTAATTCTAGTTCTAGGGAATCTGATGCCCCCTTCTGGCTTCTTTGGGCACTGCATTCCTGTGGTGCACATATATTTGTGCATATATATATGGAGACAAAATGCTTGTACATATAATAAAATATTAGAAATCATTGTTAGTATTTAAATCTAGACTGTCCTCTACAGGTTCATGTTTTTAGCATTTGATCTCATTCATTTCATGACCTTTATAAAAGGGGGCCTGGCTGGTGCTTGAGTCGGGCAGTGGTGGCACATGCCTTTAATCCCAGCACTCGGGAGGCAGAGGCAGGTAGATCTCTATGAGTTCGAGGCCAGCCTGGTCTACAAGAGCTAGTTCCAGGACAGCCAGGACTGTTATATAGAGAAACCTTGTCTAGGAAAGCCAAATGAAGAAAAGGAGAAGGAAGAAGAAGAGAAGAAGGAGGAGGGGGGGAGGGGGAGGAGGAGGAGGAGGAGAAGAAGAAGAAGAAGAAGAAGAAGAAGAAGAAGAAGAAGAAGAAGAAAAGTTACAGTTGGCTCCAGCCTTCCAGCCTGCATTCTCTACTTCCTGCTTGCCACTGTGTGAACAAGCAGCCACCGCACACTCCCACCACCAGGAACAGAACTGTTCTGTGTTGTCTTCCCCAACACAGAAATTGCTCTGACACCCCAAGGCAAACTAAACCTTCCCACCCCAACCCAAAGCCTTCTATCAGCAGTTCTGATCACAAGTAACTAATGCTGTCACCACACTGCACCTCGGTCTTCTGGGACTTTCACCTAACCTTGAAATCTCAACACAACGGTCTGAGGCCACTGTTCGAGGGGGGGGGGGGGCTCTGAATTTTCATATCAGAAAATTCACTTTGTGGACCCACCAGACCCATGAGGCACATGATAAAGAGAGGCTTCGCAACTAGAGACCTCAACCCAGGGGTAAAAAAAACTGAAAGAAAATAAATGATAAAGGCCCATCGTGTCGCTTTCCTGGGATGTGTGGGTCACTCCCCACGATGATGATCAGACCTTCTAGAAACTTCCATCGGCCTCCTTGTAAGGCCATCTTATGTGACTGGGAGGAGGTGGTCCACACCTCTAATCCCAGCACTCCGGAGGCAGAGGCAAGTGGATCTCTGAACTGGAGGTTAGCCTGCTCTCTAGAGCAAGTTCCAGGACAGCCAGTTCTACACAGAGAAACCCTGTTTCAAAAAACAAAACAAAAGACAACCTTATCTGTGGATCTATCTGCTCCACAGAGTTACCTGAACTCTTATCTGTGGATCTATCTGCTCCACAGAGTTACCTGAACTCTGTGTTGTGTCTTGCAAAATAGAGGTGCTTCCTCTTGGATCTTGTTTGCACCCAGTGGTGCCTGGTGAATATTTAACAGCTTTTCTCAGGAGGGGAAAGCCCTAGAGAGCAGCTTTTTCAGAGTTCGGAGATGTCGTGGAAGAGCAGGTTGGAGAGTCTGCCTCTGTGACTGTTTCCAGCGCCCTCCCAATTTGAATGGCTTCAATTTATCTAGCACCCACTGACCCATGGGCAGCCCAGGAGGCTGGAGGGAGGGTGATTTGTGGGCAGCCCTGTCCCCTCCGCTTGATCTCTCCCAGACCGTTGCTCAGTCAACAGTTGCCAAGGGTTCCAATCAAAGCCTCTACACCCCTTTGAAGTGCCTTCACAGAAGTCTTGAGGGCAGAATCTTCAGGAGCAGCTCAGCCTTTCTTGTCTGGGCTCCATGAATAACCAGCCTGGGAATGTGTCTAGAATCTCCCTGAGCGTCAGCATACTTTTGAGGTTTGTTTGATTTCTCTTTTAATAGACAAATTGCAGAAAACACAAGAAGAAGAAGAAGAAAACGCATTTCCTGTTCCCAGCTCAGCATCCACGACCAGGAAGAAGCTAGAAGGAGCTGGGAGCAGGCTCTCATTCATAGACACCCTGTGGAGTGGCTGCCACTCGGCAATCCACGTCCTTAGCAACAGAGCCAGGAGGGCTGGAGGAAGGCTTCAGGGTGTGTGCTAACAGGATTACATGGCTTTCTAATGTACATGGCTGTGCTGGCTCAACCGCGTAGCTGGCTCCTGCACACATTGCTCTTTCCCTCCATTTAGCACACACTCGTTGTTTCTTCACCCATCCTCTCTCCCTCCCTCCCTCCCTCCCTCCCTCCCTCCCTTCCTTCCTTCCTTCCAGAACTTGACCGGAACCCCCCCCCCATCTTCTCTCCATCGCCGGTTGCAACTCCCACCCCCTTGCTTGCTCATGGCATACTACATTGCGACTCATTTTGTGCTCTACCTATTTCTTATGCGGAACCTTGGCTTCACATTTTTAAGCCTTCTAGTGACTGTACCCATTCCCACAGTTATCCGAGCTCCCTGTCCCCCTTGTCCTGTACGGTCTCTCCCGCGTCATTCCTCTTACAGAGGTGTTTAAAGAGTCTGAGCCTTGGGACATTTTGTAGTCTAGATCGATCAAGACATGCGGATAGCTTCCCACATACCTTCCTGAAACCTTGGGTCTCAGATTTATCCGTGAAATGGACATTATCGTTTGTTCCACTTTACATAGGTTGTCATTGAGGATCAGAGGGGTCAAGTGTGTCTCCAGGGTCACACAGCTAGGCAATGGTTAGTGACTTATGAACTGACCCTAGAAGGGTGGCTCTTGGATGTGTGAGTTGAAGGGACAGTAGGAGCCATGGACCAAATCCCCCCCTCCCCCCAGCTACATGTACACCTCAGGCGCCAGGTCCCAAGGATTTTAATTGACCTGCAAATGCCCTGCCCATCACAGTGCATGTGTTCTCACTGGAACTTTTCTGTCTCCACACAGAAAATACTTACTCTTCTGTTAAAAATACTGGTTGTCAAACCGGGAGGTGGTGGCGCACACCTTTAATCCCAGCACTCGGGAGGCAGAGGCAGGCGGATTTCTGAGCGCTCAAGGCCAGCCTGGTCTACAGAGAGAATGCCAGGACAGACTCCAAAGATACAGAGAAACCCTGTCTCAGAAAAAAAAAATACTGCTTGAAATCAATTCAGTAAGCACTGTAGAGGTAACGCAAAGCCAGTAGGCTGCGTACCACCGGTATACAGTGGACTCTACCCTATGGGGTACACAAATGTGTTCTCTGGTGTTTAGAACCAGGTCACCTAAGGACACACTTCTCTCTCACAGCCCATCCTAAAGGACACTTGGCTGATAGGAGCATAGCCACGTCCTCACAGTTAAAAGTGTAAAGCCACGTAAGCCTTAAGACGCTAGTTCTCAGATTCTGTCCCCATCTTCCTGTCATAGGATTTTACACGCTGGACTTGGGTGGTGGCGGCGCTAACAGTGGCAGCTACGGAGGTCAGATGGAATGGTGGTGGCTGCTGTCCCCATTCTGATCTGACCTCTCTGC